CTGAGAAATAAACTGTTCCATTTCTCACAAAAAAATCTCATGAATATATACAAAATACAGCATTAAGTACAAGTTAAAAGTTATAAACGTAAATACATGCAATGAAAGTATCAATAACAGTAACAATCTCAAGAGATACTAACCATAGTCTGCATTTGGGCCTTCTGTTGTTCCAGCATAAGGAAGCTTTGGAGTTCTGCATCACCAGAACTGCCTCCACTACCAGGCCACTGATCCAGCCCTGAAAGACAAAGACAATCTAACATTCCTACCAAATCACCAGATTTGAATGACATGTCACCTGGAGTCATGACCAAGCCAAAAATGACATGAACCCTATATCATCCAGAGGCTAAAAGTTCATGCTGACTTCACAAAACAGTAAGCATTAACTAACCAAAAATACAACACTGCATTCCCTTAGACTTAGACCTCTGTATTTGTTCATTTTCAGTTGTTCTCCAAGACAGCACATTTTTATGGAAAAAACAGTAGTGAAATAACAAAAATGTCCCCAATCATCACAGCAGATTCTTTCAGCAACCATTGAAGATAGGAATTGTGAAATGAGAAGAAAAATATTCAGTACTACTACGACTGAACATGATCAAATCTATAGGTGTTTAGGTCAAAAGTGTACTTGTTACATATTAACCCATTCCCGCCGGGCATGCCATGCCATGCCCACTGTGAGATTACTTGTTGGATTGTTTTTACACATAGATGGCTACAACTTGTACTAAATCACCAATGAGCCAGTTACGAGTACCACCCGTCTCGCCCGTTTACCCTTTTCTTTGATTTACAAAATATTTTACGTTATCTTATTTTGCTGTTACTAATGTTAAAATACATTATAAAAATTATAATGTTTATAATAAAAATAACACCATCGATATTCATGGCAGTAGTGAAAAATAAGTTTTTCCCACCATTTCAAATCAGGCACTAACAGAGCCATCTATCGGCAGACATTTAACAAAAAAATATAGAAAATAGGCACAGCATTTTCCCCATTTTTTGTTCATTTTCCCCGGCGGGAATGGGTTAATCATCTTAATTTACAATAGGTAATAGTCTTTTTAGGCATGACAGAGTGTATTTAAGAAAAAATACATTCAATATACAATTTAAAAATATACACAGAAAATCTGAAACCACAGACTACTAAGGTAACATTGCTCCACTTAACATTAAGTTTCAGACTCCTCTACTTTGCAGTGGTTCATTAGGTGCATCAGTATTCAGCATATCATCTCATATGTCTATCAAAATTTAATATGAATTCATATTTCAAGTGTTTCAATAAATGCAAAATATGTTTTCAATCAAGTGAAAGCACTCAGTTAGTCTAATTAGCCATTCCATTCCTTTGTTTAGTTCAGTATATCACTGCATATGTTTAATCTCCATATTCATATAAATAAAATAAAAATAACTACCACCTCTTATCATATGTGCCTGAAAAATAAACTGTTCCATTTCTCACAAAAAAAATCTCATGAATATATACAAAATACAGCATTAAGTACAAGTTAAAAGTTATAAACGTAAATACATGCAATGAAAGTATCAATAACAGTAACAATCTCAAGAGATACTAACCATAGTCTGCATTTGGGCCTTCTGTTGTTCCAGCATAAGGAAGCTTTGGAGTTCTGCATCACCAGAACTGCCTCCACTACCAGGGCCACTGTCCAGCCCTGAAAGACAAAGACAATCTTAACATTCTACCAAATCACCAGATTTATGAAACTAAAATAAGGATTATAGTTTTAATTACTAACCTATACTGATTTTCCTTTTACTGCATATTCAATCATGGAAAAGAGACAATTTCAAACTTAATGAAAAGTCTCTAAATTAACAATGCAAAGTAAATTGAAAAGTAAATAAAAATACTGAACAATAAATATCTCTACCCTTTACTCATTTGACATAAAAGAGTACAAATATATAGAGCATTAACTGAATAAGCAATTTCTGAAAACATGAAAAATTGAGACAGAATATCCATCTCTCCTTGCTCCAATCTTCAGTCCTAGAAAATATAATAGTTGACAATATACATTTACAATGTTACCCAACACAACCTGATACAAAAATATGATGTAGTATCAACATACACTTACTGGTGACTCTGCATAGATAAATGGATTGTGGAATTGATCAGTAAATACCAACAATGACATGTGTTTGCCCTTAATCCAATGCATCCTTTTGGTTCCAATTCATATCTGTCATCACTGGAGCATTTTGTCACATAGACCGATTATCCAACAGTCATTTATCAAATATTGATAACATTAAGTTGAGACACATCAAACGATGACCTCAAACTATAGATTCTACATGCTGTCACCTCCTAAATACTTTCAGTACTCAGAGTCTCTAACTCATGAACACTAAGGCAGTAAACAGGAGATCACTGGCACACAAATTAATGACATAGCATGTATGATTATTGTGTGTTTGTCTATGTTTTTTCTTCTTTTTCTTAACCCAATGATGCCAGGTGTACAAAAGAAAAAAAAAACTCTACGCTCTAGCAAACAAAGGTGGCGGGCCGACTTTGAGCGCGCGAGTACAGGACGTCAACCCGAATCACTGGCTCGCCGCGCTTTGGCGCACCGCCGGCTCGTTTGGCTGCACGTCAGCTTTTGAGTGGTTTGTTTACATGCCTATCAGCGTCACCCGGCACCAAGGGGTTAACACTCTCACAAGTGGACCTTGCTAGATGTTTATAACACTTTAGCCATAGTCAGACTTAATACATTTTTTTTTTTTTTTTTTTTTGAGTCATTGGAGAATCTTGCTATGGGATACTGTTGCCATTTGGCATACAGACAGGGAGGGGAATGGGGAAAGGGGAAAAAGGGAGAGGGAGAAGTAGGGAAAAGAGAGAGAGGAGAAAGGAGAAAGGGAGAGGGGGAGAGGGAGAGACAGGGGAAAGGGAGAGAGAGGGAGAGACAGGGGAAAGAGAGAGGGAGGGAGGGAGAGGGAGGGAGGGAGGGAGGGAGGGAGGGGAGAGGGAAGGGAGAGGGAGAGGGAGAGGGAGAGGGAGAGAGAGAGAGAGAGAGAGAGAGAGAGAGAGAGAGAGAGAGAGAGAGAGAGAGAGAGAGAGAGAGAGAGAGAGAGAGAGAGAGGGAGGGAGGGGGGAGGGGGAGGGGGAGAGGGAGAGGGAGAGGGAGAGGGAGAGGGAGAGGGAGAGAGGGAGAGGGAGAGGGAGAGGGAGAGGGAGAGGGAGAGGGAGAGGGAGAGGGAGAGGGAGAGGGAGAGGGAGAGAGGGAGAGGGAGAGGGAGAGGGAGAGGGAGGGAGGGAGGGAGGGAGGGAGGGAGAGAGAGAGAGAGAGAGAGAGAGAGAGAGAGAGAGAGAGAGAGAGAGAGAGAGAGAGAGAGAGAGAGAGAGAGACAGACAGACAGAGAGACAGAGAGACAGACAGACGGAGAGAGAGAGAGAGAGGACGAGAGAGAGAGAGAGAGACAGACAGAGAGACAGAGGACAGCAGACAGACAGACAGAGAGAGAGAGAGAGAGAGAGAGAGAGAGAGAGAGAGAGAGAGACAGAGAGACAGAGAGAGAGAGAGACAGAGAGACAGAGAGAGAGAGACAGAGAGACAGAGACAGAGAGAGAGCGACACACACACACACACACACACACACACACACACACACACACACACACACACACACACACACACACACACACACACACACACACACACACACACACACACACACACAGAGAGAGAGAGAGAGAGAGAGAGAGAGAGACAGACAGAGAGAGAGACAGACAGAGAAACAGACAGAGAAACAGACAGACAGACAGACAGACATACAAAACGCCAACAATCACGAACCAAAACAGAACCCGAACTCACCGAGACCCGACGACGCCGACGACCCGAAGGAAGAATCGCCGAAGGACGAGGAACCGGTGTCAAAACCAGACGAAGAAGAGAAATCCGGCGTGGAAGAAGAGAACGAATCAAATCCCGAGCTGGAAGTATCTGTCTTGGGCTCGCTGTCGCCGAAAAACCAACCCATATTGGAGAAATAAACTAAAGAAAAGGGTGGAGTTAGGAAGGTGTTACGTGAGGTCGTTGTTTACCTCCGCGAGCAGACGATGCCGGTCACGTGACTTCCAGGTAGCGTTTGTATATGATTTTATTTTGTTGAATTACATTGAAGTATCTCTTTGAAATATCGTATCTTGCGTATATATATTTTTTTAAATTGATATGACTTTTTTCTTTTTCTTTTTTATATCGTTGGTTCGGTTGCAGATACTATGAATTTAAAGGGCTTATCAATTATAGACTTTTTGATTTATTGTCATTTGCAATATTTGGATGTCCAGACATGAACTGTTAAAAAGGACTGTTCGGTAATTTAAAGATAAAATAACACTTGGCCTATGTAGTTTCTGAAAAAAAAAATAGCTGAAAAATACAACGACACATTATGTTCTATTATTAACTTGCCTAACATGATAACAATTAACCCTCGACCTAACGAGAATAAACTGCATAAATTTTGAAATAAACCCAAAAGTTATTCTTTTAACTCGTTGATTTGAATTCCTTTTCCTCCCACTCCCCCCCTCCCCCCTCCCCCAAAAGAGTATGGACAAGGAAACAGGAAATTCCCATTTGAATAATTTTACCTATCATCTTAAAAAAAAAAAAAAAATAGCTTACCACTTTAGAGATACCTATATGAGTCGTCCAATATAAAATTATCTCCCACGGGCAATGAAATATATAAACATAATAAAATAAATACAACTATCTGAGAGAAAAAATATATTCGGCTCCATAAAACGGACTTTACTTAGTGTAAAGAAAAGAAATGCTATTCCCAATTCTAAACTATGCAAAATCTACGCTTTAAGAAATATTCATTAATTAGTAAAAAAAATGGATATAATAGAGAATTATAAAAGAATGGAAACGTTGCGCAACGTGATCTTCATCTGCCTCCGACGCCACCTGGACGGCGGTCGAGGGAACTACAAGCGCGAGGTAAACAATTTTGAACCGAATTTGCGATATTTTCAAGCCATGTGTCGCGACTCCTGACGGGGTGCGCTTTACGTCCATTCCGTGGATGCCGGGGGAACCAGAGAAGGAGAGAAGAGCGAAATACCTCGGTCTTATAGCGCCTTTCCTGTGATTTCCGGCCCGAAAGACACTGTCCCTTCAAACCCACTGTTAAGAGGAACTGCTTGTTGACTTTTTTCACTGTTGTTTTTTTCGTCTCTTCGTTGATTTTTTCACTGTTGTTTTTTTTTCCGTCTCTTCGCGAGTGGGTGTTTCTCTCTCTTCGTGTGTTTGAAGGCCCGGTGCGCACCTCTCCTTCAGGCTGTGGAGTGGTGTGGATCCCTCGGGCCTTTTAAACACGCCTCCCCAGACATGTTCCGATCGGCATGTGATTTCTTGGGGGGAGACAACAACAGTGACGGAGACTCTTCCAAGGAGAACTCACCCAGCGCCCTCGTCAATGGCCAGTATTCTTCGTCGTCGTCCTCTGCGGCTGTGGTTGGCGGTGGGGGGTCTCCTTGGGGTCGCACGCTAACCCCTCGTCCAGCCTCCGCTCAGGGCTCCGTTCTGCCCCAGAGGTTGTCGATGGGCAGTGGCGTGGCGGCCTCTCCTGCGTCCTCGTCAGCCAAGCAGAACGTGCCATGGAATGATTTGAGGTAAGTACTATTTTTAAATCGCTTGATTTTGCAACGATATCTTTTTTGTTATTGTGAGTGGGTGTGGAAAGGGTATAGTTTGTTCCATATAGCTGTGTAGTATAAATTAACTTTGCTTGTGATGAAAAGAATGGCTGAAAATAAAGACACCTTTCATCTTTGGCCTAGCTTTTGCTAATTGGTAACAAGAAAGTTATATAACACGTAATACTTTGGTATACATTTATAGGTTAACCCAATGCCGATGGGCATGACATGCATGTACATGCTATGCCCACTATGAGTTACTTGTTTGATTGTTTTTACACATAGATGGCTACACTTGTACTAAGTCACCAATGAGCCAGTCTCGCCTGTTTACCCTTTTCTTTGATTTATGAAAATATTTTATGCTATCTTATTTTGCAGTTACTAATGTTTAAAACATTTTGATAATTATAGTGTTTATAATAAAAATAACATCATAGATATTCATAGTACCAGGAAAAAATACATTTTTCCTGCCAATTCAAATCACGTAAGGTCACAAGGTCTACTAATTGACTTCTTTGTGGCTAAGCACGAGCAGAGCCATTTATGTGCAGAGACATTTCACAAAATTAGGAAATGAGCACAGCATTTTCCCCATTTTTTTAATTCATTTTCCCTGCCGGCATTGGGTTAATGTATATTCACTGACTCAGGAAATAATCTATGTATGCAAATAATAACACCAAAAAAGAAGAAAATAGGTCTCAACAAATTAAAGCACAGAGGAAGGGTAATTTTCTGGAATAACGCTGCATAACTAATTATGATAATTTTGACACCACTGGATTCTTCTTACCCTATAGTACATAGATATGTAGGAATTATGCAGTGGAAGCCCCCAAACCCCTCCATTTTTGGCCAGGGAGCATTTCATGCACTTAGGCCCGAAGATCTCCGGCGTGGAGTTAACTTTCCTGTTGGTGTGGCGGCGTAGATTTAGCCTAAATTATATTCATTGGTATAATGAAATAGAAAAATCTCGGTTCCTTCCTTTTTTATCTTTACTGTTTTTTCAAGCTTTAAAGTTGAACGTTATGCACTTATACATAGTCGTTTGTTTGATCCCCCCCCCCCCCCTGTTAGCAAACATCTGTGGCTCAAAATCCCCAATTTTTTATAATCACGAGGCTAGGGAAAAAATTCACGATTCCTACTAAAAAGTGTGTGCTGCCATCAACAATGTACTTGGCTTTAACTTGGTATCATACTTTATAAAATATTACTCTTATCGGGAATGTTATAGGTCCTTCCCTGTGGTTGGGTTTGGAGAGGGTTCCATGGCATAATTTTGATATATTTAGATAGCAGAGAGTGAGAAGGATCCATCGATATCAAGATCATTGCAATTGGCTATGCAACACCATTCCAGAAAATTACCAGCTCCTTGGTTAGGAAGCTTTTTGGAGCAATGGGACCTGTCTCAGAGTGGTACAGTCATTTAATGAACAATTACTAATACTTTCGTTTATGTCTTTTACAATGTAGAACCAGAAGAGAGTCGTGCATATAATATTGTGAATAACTGAGACAAAGAACAATAATTAGGAAATAAAATGGTTGAGCGAAACTAAAGAAATGGTATATATTACTATAACAACCACACTAAGATAGAGAAAATTGAAGGGCATTGCCATAAAGATATATAAAAGCTACAGTCACTGATATATAACATGATCTGCACAGACAAAGAATAACATAAGAAATGAAGAAAATGGGTAGCAACAAATGTCCTCATGCACTTCCTGCAATAAAGTCTAGCCTTTCTCACCTAGCAGCAAACAACTTAGCTGTGCAGTAAACTAATATAAATTCTCTTGATGTTTGTAACTTCTGACCTCACAGCCAATCATTGTCAGTCTCATAGAAATACACTATACTGAAAGAAATGTTTATTTAGATGTATTTCTAAGTATCTAGACATACAGATAAATAAGACGAATGATATGCTAAGAGATGACTCTGTCATACATAATAGTATTGTCTGTGGAGGGGGAAAAGATCTTTAGTATGGCTGGAAGAAATGTGAAATATGAAATACAGCACACAAATTAGTACTTCACATTCACTATTTCCTTTTTTTATCTTTACTGTTTTTTCAAGCTTTTAAGTTGAACGTTATGCACTTATACATAGTCGTTTGTTTGATCCCCCCCCCCCCCCCTGTTAGCAAACATCTGTGGCTCAAAATCCCCAATTTTTTATAATCACGAGGCTAGGGAAAAAATTCACGATTCCTACTAAAAAGTGTGTGCTGCCATCAACAATGTACTTGGCTTTAACTTGGTATCATACTTTATAAAATATTACTCTTATTGGGAATGTTATAGGTCCTTCCCTGTGGTTGGGTTTGGAGAGGGTTCCATGGCATAATTTTGATATATTTAGATAGCAGAGAGTGAGAAGGATCCATCGATATCAAGATCACTGCAATTGGCTATGCAACACCATTCCAGAAAATTACCAGCTCCTTGGTTAGGAAGCTTTTTGGAGCAATGGGACCTGTCTCAGAGTGGTACAGTCATTTAATGAACAATTACTAATACTTTCATTTATGTCTTTTACAATGTAGAACCAGAAGAGAGTCGTGCATATAATATTGTGAATAACTGAGACAAAGAACAATAATTAGGAAATAAAATGGTTGAGCGAAACTAAAGAAATGGTATATATTACTATAACAACCACACTAAGATAGAGAAAATTGAAGGGCATTGCCATAAAGATATATAAAAGCTACAGTCACTGATATATAACATGATCTGCACAGACAAAGAATAACATAAGAAATGAAGAAAATGGGTAGCAACAAATGTCCTCATGCACTTCCTGCAATAAAGTCTAGCCTTTCTCACCTAGCAGCAAACAACTTAGCTGTGCAGTAAACTAATATAAATTCTCTTGATGTTTGTAACTTCTGACCTCACAGCCAATCATTGTCAGTCTCATAGAAATACACTATACTGAAAGAAATGTTCATTTAGATGTATTTCTAAGTATCTAGACATACAGATAAATAAGACGAATGATATGCTAAGAGATGACTCTGTCATACATAATAGTATTGTCTGTGGAGGGGGAAAAGATCTTTAGTATGGCTGGAAGAAATGTGAAATATGAAATACAGCACACAAATTAGTACTTCACATTCACTATTTCCTTTTTTATCAGATGGCTAATGTAAGCTTCACAACATGGTGAAACACTAAAAATAACTACCGTAAAATGGCTCTATTGAATGAAAAGAACAAAGAAAGCTTCTTGTTTCCTCTGAAATAAAACCAGTATATTTTATGAAATGAATGATAAATGCTTGTGCAGGGACCAAGCTAATAAATCTGCAACAGAAATGAAACCAGTGACACACACGAGAAATTAAACAGCATCTGAAGTTCAGCAATAATTCCATGCTATTATTTGTCTAGACCAGTGGTTTTCATTCTGTGTGTAATGATTTTATATTCACTAAGTGTGCCATATAAAAACATTGCAGATATATATCTCTTGCCTTTGAAATTTGAAAATGTAGTAAATATGTAGTTGATAGGTTAAGTTTTTATATCCAGTAAGGCACAATATATTGTACATTTTTAAGACAACACAGTAAATGTATACAGATAAAATACATTTGTATTTGTATACTGATAGATTAAAGAGCTAGTGTGTCACAAAAGTCTATTTAAATACTCTTAAGGTAGCACTAGAGTGCAAAGATATAAAACCACTGATCTAGACTCAAAACTTAGGGTATAGGTTAGAAGAGAGAAAGGACGCTCTTAAGAAAATAAGAATAAAACAACTGGATTTGGAGAATCATATAGTTTAAAAGATATCTTTGCTTTGAACCAGTCCTACACAGTGGCAGATACTTCATATTTTGTGGGGCAAAAATTAATCCCCACCATGCCCATGAGTTTATCGGGGGAGACAGGCAGTGGCCTTTTATATGTATTGTACTTGAGTACTGAAAATCCGAGAATTGTAAAAATGTGCTTCTGGATGGGGGCTTATTCTAGGGGTTGGCTTATTTAAATTGTATGGTAGATATGTTCAATAGATATGTTCAACAGAAAAAACAATTTCACTTGTAAAATCTTACCTTATCTCATGAGTGTATCCAGGGGCATCACTTCGTGCTTTCTCTTGGGAAGGTGATAACACTGTTGCCTACAAAATTGACGTTTTGCCCTGCCAAAACTGTAAAAATATGGTTAAAATAAGAAATTTTACAAGTAAATAAGAAAGTCTTGGGTTTGAACTGCAAGTATAATTATAGACACTTATGGCATATATATTCACTATCTTTAATTTTGTATGCACTGATATTGAGAACTTTAGTATATGAGAGCAATACATGTCTAATTTCTAGCCACTGAAACAGGTTTTATGCTGCACTCTCTTACTCGTTTACAGATAATGGCTGATGCAACCCAACTTAAAGCTAAACATCATTACATTGATAAAACAGAAATAGCTAATGAAAAATGAAAAAATGGTGCATGTGCAGCTGATAATAAGTGCTCAAGGGCATTAGAAATACATCTAGAATACCTTTATTCCAACATTTAGAAAAACATTTATCCCTACCACAAGATAAACATTTATTGCTTTATATGATTAAAGATAGATTGCATGTTTTCCTTGCGTAAAAATGATACTCTCCTCAGTTTTTATTTATACGCAAGGAGTTCATCTTTTCAATTTTGTGTTCTACTGATACTCATATGTGAGATGTAGGGAGGAAGTAGCCATCACATTTCTTATTTGTAGACTTGAGCTATCTAAATGTCTGCAACCAAAATTTGCCTCAGTGAAACTTGAAAAATCATGCCTTTCTTGCAGCTGAGGGACTGACGGCTGAAGGTTTTGCAGTTTTTAGAGGTTAAACAGTGGAAGAGATAAAAGATTGTATGAGATCTGTAGAAATTTTAGGCCTTCTAAAATAATTCATATAGTCTCTTGATAAATGATTTTTTGTTAAAATGCTACATTTTAGTTTCATTTGATTATAATATTTAGTATGTTAAAGGGCTGTGGATTCAGTCAGTAAAAATGTCCCTACTCCTACTTCAACATAAATTGCAAAAATCCCACTTTCTAAACATATTGCACACTTTATATCTACCTGAGAGAATAAGAAATCATATTTTCATATCGTCGTGGCCCTATATGTATTTTTAAGGCTTCCATGATTATACAATAAAAAGGCCACAATAGTATAGCTATAACCATTTGACTTAAACCTTTTTAGGACATGGGGTTAAAAGGTAACCTGTAGTTATGGAATCCCCTTTTTTCTTCTTCGTCTTCTTCTTCTATTTTTCTTTTTTCATTATGATAATAATAAAAGGGATCAGTCTCAGAATCGGTTGTTTTGAGTACCAACTCCACAGCCCTGGTATATTATCAATGCCTTATTGAGCTTGTGCTACCTTAACTTCAAATACAAATTTCTCATCTGTCCAAATGTATTTTTTTTTTCCAGTTTTGCTGCGGAAGTTTTAAGTCCAGGTTTTGCAAGCAGAGTAGTTAGGGAAGCACAAGCACATAATGGAAGAAGTCCAGGAGAGAACCGCAGACAATATCCAACAGGTATGTGCCACTCTGTGAAATCTTCTATCCCCTTTAGCATAAATTTCTGATATGTTTATATTTGAATTAGTAAGGTTAATTGATGCATATGGAAAATTCTGGTTATCTTATATTGTTAAAGATTCACTCTATTCGTTAGTATATGAATTTGTAAACCATTTGTGAAAGTAACTATTTATCATAATTTTTCACCAGCACAAGAAAGATATGTTCGAGCAGGTGTGCTGCCAAATGTCCGCCTTGGAGGGCGCACAAAGGCAGTCCTCAGTCCAAGAAGACCACCTACCTCCCCACTCCTCCCTCTTGGCCGATCCACAGCCACTTTCACATCTTCACTCTCTACGGATTTCTTGTCTTCAGCAACACCAAGGTTAGATAGTCATTATGGTATTTGTGGTATTTCCTTATATATTTGAAATAGTTGAAGGATCCTGTTTTATCTGATTGAGATAATTAAATAATCCTTTTAATTTTTGGGGGGGGCTATCTTCAGGATGCCCGACATCAGATCTGTAGCTTCAGTTCTTGAGCCACCGAATACACCAAACGAATGTGCCAGAGACCCAACGAGTGTTCAAGCAGTGGTAGCAGCTTTGCAGCAGGCCCAGGCTGGGAAAGGGGTCAAGAGAGGAGCTTGCTATATAGTAAGTGATGTAGCCTAACTGTCATTGGTAATAGTGGACATTGGCTATTGACAGCAGTATTTGGTTTGTCATTGCAGTGTGAATAGCACTTGTAATTTTGACCTCTTTTGTGAATTGACATCATTCTTTAACCCCTTAACGACGGGTGACGCCAATATGCGTGAAAACAAACCGCTCGAAAGCTGGCATGCGGCTGTATGCTGTGGCGGTGCGCTGCCATTGTTTGCCAGACGTTGGAGTTTTTCTTGTTTTTGTTTTTTTCGTTTTCTTCACCCGTCACCATTGGGTTAAAGAAGGAAGGAAATTATTTCAAGATGCTCTCATTATCCAGGCCCATGGTGTTCATCTACTTAGTTGCACATTTAGAAATTAAATAAGATTGTGATATATGCAAAATAAATAATTTGTTAATTTCTCATTGTTCCTTTGTTTCAGGAGCCAGAAGACCTAAGTAAAAGACAAAAATGTAATGGCAGTAGTATAGTCCCCACCACTTTACCCGTCAACTATTCAAGGTAATGTATTTGAAAGTGTCTTGAGAGTATTGGTTCACATCATTTATTTTCAAAAGCATCATGAAGTCTTATGTAGAATAGGAAAAGGCTATTTTCCTAATTACACCTGTAACTTCCATAGGAAATGAGATATATGTATGACCTTTAGAAACTGGACAGCACATATTTAACCCAGGTATGCAGATGCATTATCTCTCTCTCTCTCTCTCTCTCTCTCTTTCTTTCTCTCTCTCTGTCTATCTGTCTCATTAACTATACCATTGATGTATTCCTTTTTTCAGAGATTACCTGGAGGAGACCCAGAATCGAGGGGGCAGTAGTACTCCGAATGGTGGGGGTGAGAAACGTGCTCTGGACCTCAGTCCTGGGGCTCAATCTAACACCCACCAGTTAAGCCCAGAGAACAAGAGGCGTTGTGTGCTTGATCCCATGATGGCTTCCTTCTCCTCATCGAAACATATGGAGCTAAGAATGTCTCAGGTATGCAGATGTCTTTGTCTCTCTACTATGAAATTTCAAAAAGTATTTATTCAAAGGATGCAGTTTTCTGTTATTTTTTTGGAATAAACAGATATAAAAACTCCTCATGTACTTGATTATGTCTTATTTCTTAATCCAGTCTATTTTAAAAATTTGATATGATAAACCAAATGCTTGTTTTAACCCAATCGATACGGATGGCAAGAATACATGCTACGCCCGCTGTAATGCAAGTTTATTTATTGTATTTACACATAGATGGCTCTATAAGTACTCAGTCACCAAGGAGTCAGTTATTAGTCCTACCTATCTCACTTGTTTACCCTTTTCCTTGACTTTTGGAAAAGATCTTTTGTATTATTTCTTTGCCTTAAATGTTACCAAGATTTAAATAACAATTTAATAATCATAACATCAATAACAATTATAACCGCATTGATATTAATTATATTAAATAGTAAAATGCATTTTCCCACCAATTCAAGGAATGGGAAAATCAGGATCAGTCACTAGGGCCTACTTATAGACTCCTTGCTGGCTCATCACATGTGGAGCCATCTGTATGTAACAAAATTCACAAAAAAACTGCAGGGGACAGAACATAAATCCGTGGTGGTTGGGTTAAAAGTATTTAAAGAAAAAAAAATTGAAGAAATAGATGTAGATAGGTATTACACATAGTTATAGACTTAAGTAGATGTAGATATAGATATAAAAAAAAAAAAATCAATAATGTGCATCTCAACTTACCTCAGGGTAGTGGAAGAGAGACCCCGTTCTCCATGTATGATTCAAGACGGGACACAGATTCCGAAAGCAACCGCAGTGTGGATTCTGGACAGTCCAAAGCCTCTGAACAATCCCTACACCAGCAGGTAGTGATATTCTTTTTGCCAGGAAGTTTTAGAACTGCTCCTTCATATAGTGTTATATCTTTGTCAGGAGCAGTGGTAATCAGTGTCATTGTAAAAGTTCTTATGATGACATTGAAAAAGTGCTAAACATGTCGCTGGTTTGAATCTCTCTCAAAAATCATGAAGAGGGAAGAAGGAGAAAGCTTTGGTGGAATGTGGGATCTTTGGATCTAGGAGATGGATAGATTTTGTTGTGCAGCTTGTAGGCCAGATGACAAGATTCTATGCCTCCCTTTTGCAGTGTTATTTTCTCTTTTTTTGTATAGCCACTTTTAGCTTTTTAGCCATTTTCCATTCCATTTAGCCATTCTAGTCATTTGATTTGCTATATCCAGATAGTAATAGACATTTCTTTGCATAGACTCCATATCATCTCTCTAGGTAGTCCATAACTCAGTGCAATAATAATAACAAGTAATATTTTGTTATTTATCAGTAAAAATAAATTGTAATATTCAATTTTCTGTAACAGAACTGTACTGCATGGAAATGGCATCTGCTCTGAAGCTGGTGCTCTTCCAGTCATGGCTCAGAATCAGTACATTCCACACTCATTTATTGATGGAAATAAAGCAAAAGCCCCTTCCTAAATGCCAGATGAATCTAATCACCCTTCAAGAGCTTTGTCCACTCGTGGCAAGTCAATCCCATCACCATAGCTTTCAGCCAAAATGCGCACAACAGCAACTTCATGTTACCCCGGCCCAGTGGCCATATTTTCCCATTGCACCTTCTTCACATCACCCACCCTTCAAGCCCAATTTTTTCATGACATGTCATCCAGATTGTAGGGATTAATGTTTCTCTCCCTTCGTGTATTCCAGACAAGTGAGGCCACCGGCGGAGACTCTTGCATGATCAGTCCAGGACCCTCAGAACGGGACCCATCTGACCGCTCAGGCTCACATACACCCCAAAGCACACGGGGAGACAGCTGCAATGGAACAGGGGGGACAGCAAACACCTCCCGTACATCCACCCCTAGAAACCCTACTCCGCCAAGACCTACTCACGTCATATCTTTAGAAGCATACAAAGCAGAGAAGGCCAAGAGTCAGCAGAGACTCAAAAAGATGCTGGGTATGCTTTTCCATGTTGATGGTAAGTGCTGTTGTCTTTTCCCTTTTACTGTATCACTAATTGAAAAGATTTTTTCTTTGTTTTCATGGTATAAAAAGATATGGCATTCAGTTTGACCAGAAACCCACCTTTAGCACTAGTAGGAGTATACCAGAAGAAGTCAGAAAAAATACAGTTCAATTATCATTTTATACTTTCCTCATTCACAGAAAATGAAGAGAGTCAGTCATCAAAGTCTGGAAGTGTAACTCAGCCAACACCATCCACATCATCTACACTAGCATCAACATCTATAGACACTGTAGGAACTTCAACCACAGTAAGTTCTGTATTGAAGACCATTGCTCCAGACGAGGCATCAACAAGTGTGACAAGTGTGTCAAGTAGTACCACTACAACAGCTGAGACAGACAAGAATGAAGTGACCACAACTTTCACATTCTCTCTTAAACCACCATCTACCTCTGTAGTAAATAAAGAAACTGATATAGTAAAGACAACTGAATCAGCTGGGGATGAGAGTGGCAGTAATGTGTCTGTAACAGCAGTCTTGAAGCTTCCTCCCCCAGCCAGTAGTGATGTTACAAGCCTTAGCACACCAACTGTCTCCACATCTTTCACTGCTGTTACTCAGTCAGCCAACACACCCACTGCTGTCACATCTTCATCTGTAATAGCCAAAAATCCTCTCTTAGCTGGTGCAACCTCAAGTGAGTCTGCATTTGCACCCCTGAAACCTGGTTCAGATTTGAGTCCGATAAGTGGCATAATGCCTCTGACAGCACCATCTAGCACAGCTAGTGAACAAACCAATCAAGGAACGTTTAGTTTAGGGAGTACCTTATCAAAGACAGCATCTCAGGTCAGTTCCGGTACAGCTGTGTCCTCAGCCTTCAGTTTTGTTGTTCCTGGTTCTAACAAATCATCCTCGATTACTTCTGCAGTTAGTTCAGCAAGTGCAACAGATGGTAAAAATGCAGAAAACCATCAGGAAAAAACAAAGGTTCCTGGTGCTTTTACTTTTGGCAGTCAAGCTGCTCCTGCAAATACAAGCACTAGTAGTCAAGGAGTATTTGCTGCTACTGATCCAAAAACATCACAGGGATCATCTGCAGTGCCTCCTGCAAGCTCATCTTCTCCATTTACCTTTGGTGCTGGAAGTGATGCAGTATCTGGTCAGAGTTCTACATTCACTTTTGGTCCCAAAACTACTCAGACTGAGGCTTCCACACCAAGCCTTGGGTTCTCTTTTGGATCCCAGGACTCCAAAGCACCAGCAACTTCAACTCTGACTTCAGGGGCTCAGACAACTTCCGCAGCTTCAGGTTTCAGTTTTGGAACGTCATCTGGTCCTACTGTTGCTGCAACTTCTGCTCCTGCTTCTGCCCCTGCTCCTGCTCCTGCTCCTGCTGCTGCTTCTGCCCCTGCTCCAGGTAAAAATGCAGAAAACCATCAGGAAAAAACAAAGGTTCCTGGTGCTTTTACTTTTGGCAGTCAAGCTGCTCCTGCAAATACAAGCACTAGTAGTCAAGGAGTATTTGCTGCTACTGATCCAAAAACATCACAGGGATCATCTGCAGTGCCTCCTGCAAGCTCATCTTCTCCATTTACCTTTGGTGCTGGAAGTGATGCAGTATCTGGTCAGAGTTCTACATTCACTTTTGGTCCCAAAACTACTCAGACTGAGGCTTCCCACCCAAGCCTTGGGTTCTCTTTTGGATCCCAGGACTCCAAAGCACCAGCAACTTCAACTCTGACTTCAGGGGCTCAGACAACTTCCGCAGCAGCAAGTTTCAACTTTGGATCAAGTATAGCACCACCAACAACAGTCACAGCTGCTGCAACAGTAAAACAAAGGTAGTTCCTGGTGCTTTTGCTTTTGGCAGTCAAGCTGCTCCTGCAAATACAAGCACTAGTAGTCAAGGAGTATTTGCTGCTACTGATCCAAAAACATCACAGGGATCATCTGCAGTGCCTCCTGCAAGCTCATCTTCTCCATTTACCTTTGGTGCTGGAAGTGATGCAGTATCTGGTCAGAGTTCTACATTCACTTTTGGTCCCAAAACTACTCAGACTGAGGCTTCCACACCAAGCCTTGGGTTCTCTTTTGGATCCCAGGACTCCAAAGCACCAGCAACTTCAACTCTGACTTCAGGGGCTCAGACAACTTCCGCAGCAGCAAGTTTCAACTTTGGATCAAGTATAGCACCACCAACAACAGTCACAGCTGCTGCAACAGGTTCTCCTTTCCAGTTTGGAGCTCCAGATCCCAAATCAACAACTGCAGCAACAAGTATACCTTCATTTACCCCAAGTACACAGAGTACTCCATCTTCAAGCTCCTTATTTAGCTTTGGAGCAGCTGCAAAGGCCACACCTGCCGCCACATCATCTAGTTCTCCATTCAGTTTTGGAACAGTGAAGGCAAGCAATCCTCCCTCTTTTGGTGCCAGTGTTGAAACAGCTAAACAAGCTACACCAAGTGGAGCATTCACTTTTGGTTCTACTCCAGCTGCTACTACCACAGCTACATCATCCCCTGGTTTCAACTTTGGATCTTCTGCAGGAGCTACAGCTGCACCTTCATCAACATCAACACCAGCAACCTTCAACTTTGGATCCCCAGCAGTATCACAGGCTTCCTCTGCTTTTCAGTTTGGATCTACAGATAAGCCTGCTCAAGTTGCCACAACATCAAGCAGTCCATTTTCATTTGGTAGTACTGCCAGTAAACCTCCTAGTTTTGGTGCACCAACAAGCCAGACACAGTCACCGTTTAGCTTTGGTTCAAATGCTGCTACTGGCCAAGCTTCAGTCCCATCCTCAGCTGCAGCCCCAGCTCCATCCTTTGGTTCTACTACGAGTCAGGGCTTTGGTGCTCTGCCAACAAATACTCCTCAAGGTTTTGGAGCACCAACAACAAATCCACCAGCCTTTGGCTCAACTACAAGTGCAGCAGCATTTGGTACACCAAAAACCACCCCATCATTTGGTGTACCAACAACTGCACCCCCAGCATATGGTGCAACAAGCAGTCAA